ATACAAAAAAGAAATGCTAGACAACTATTATATATATTATTACTCATATTTAGAAGGGACAGTTGGACAGGACTAACATAGCATAAGAAAATTGTACTACAAGCAAGTTAAATTGTATATTGTACCAATAGCACTATCAATTGTACTTTAAACCTGGACCAATCTGATTGGTCATTCAATCACTTTTGCTTTTGTATAAGCACGTGTATTGTGCTTATTTCTTAGCAAACCACCTGTACAGGCAAATTTTGTATTCTTCCTCTTCCTACCACAGATTTCTTCAATTAATTAAACAGTTGGACAGGACTAACATAGCTTAAGAAAATTGTACCAAAAGCAAGTTAAATTGTATATTGTACCAATAGCACTATCAATTGTACTTTAAACCTGGACTGATCTGATTGGTCATTCAATCACTTTTGCTTTTGTATAAGCACGTTATTGTGCTTATTTCTTAGCAAACCACGTGTACAGGCAAATTTTGTATTCTTCCTCTTCCTACCACTGATTTCTACAATTAATTAAATTTTAGGGTTTTAAGCATTTTACATAATTTCTCTCTAAAATTATACAATTTTCTTCTTAATGGTTCTCCAATCTTATCCTTTTTCCTCTTTTTTTTTTTTTCTGATACTGAGGAATTTAGCATTCAAATTGCGAGATATTTATGTTTTTGAGGTTTTAAAGCATTTTTCTTTATTATTGAAATTCTATTATTTGTAATTGCCATTTATTTTTTTGAGTTGTTTCCCATTGGATTTCAATATGCATGTACTAATTTTTCTGATATACTTATTCATGTTTGAATTTAGATAGTCGGGTGTAATCTTATGGATGATTTTGAGTCCAAGCTCAAAGATAACCATTTTCTCTTCAGGTTAACAATTGGTGCAACAAAGGTGTTTGATGGTGGAATGCTTCAATCAAATAAAAGATTTACAGATTTCTACAACATATTCCTCTGTCAATTATGAAGATTTTAGGTCAGTATTGACTTTCTTTGGCTTCTGGTGGTGAGTCTAAGCTATTATATTTGAAGATAAAGGGAGATTATTATTGCACTTATACATAGTAGAAAATACTTACTTTTCTGATAAAGTTTTATTAGTGCTTTAGTGATTGATTGGAAAAACATTGGCACATTTGATGAGAGAAAACAAAAAGTTAACAGAGATGTTGGAGTTTAGACGTAGTCATTGACAATGTTGGCTTCCTTCACTACATAAGAGGGTGATAATGAGTCCAATATGGCTACCAATTAATTGCTTTTCTTAATGGTTGGAGTGGTTTCTTCAACTTTTTTCTAATCTGCTTTGGCCTTTGTGTTTTTGCCTTATATTTGATTCTGGAAGCTGCATGATCCAACCATATTGTTTTACCTATATAATGAGAAAAGAAGAAACAAACCCATCCCTTATGCTTTGAAATAAAAGAGGACTCTAATTGCTACTAAGGTTTTAATATCCATAGTAACCGAATTGTGCCTCAACATGAGTTTATTAGTAAGTCTTTGTGCTTTGAAAATAGTACATCAGATATGATAGTATCCAACTTCCTCTCCAAGGTCCAATTCAATAACCTTACGCCTTAACATAGGGGTTTCTCTTTGCAGTCTGAATTATTACAAGTCATCTTTTCCTATGTGCCAACTATTTATGCTTTGATATTGTTGAGATCCTTCACAGGGGATTACTTATGATGGACTGTTAACTTTTTATGTATGCTGCAAGTACTCTTATTACTAAAATAGTACATATATCAGTTGATGTGTTAGTTTGGGTAATTCACACTTTCAGGTAGAACCAAGATAGCTCTATGTATTGGATGAAAGGATAAGCAATTCTGAGCAATTTTTGGGTGCCATTTGATTGGTTGACTTTTCTAAAGTGTGTTTTGAGACAATTTCAAACATATATATTGTTAAATGAGATCATTTATTAGATGGACTTAGATAATAACTGTGAGATACTCTGAAGAAACTAGGAAATATGAGTCAATGTACCTGGCTCAACTTCGGTTAACTTGCTGAAGTGATGTAAATCCTGTTTTTCATGGAGAGATTACAAAACACCTAATGCGCATATGCTTCATTAAGTTGCTTTAGTACATTTTCTTATCTTTGTGATAACTATGCCTCTGACATGTTCTTTCCCATCATATTTATTTAAGTAGAAATTATTCTCAATTCCATTTCATCTCCAATGAGGATGAAAAGTTGTTAGTGTGACCTATGTTACCTGGGTCCTTTCATTTGCATTGACGTACACATGTTGAGTGGGTGAGATATGGGTGTAGGTACTTCACACAAATTATTTGAATACACAAAAGAACTACCAAAAAACTGCATGTACTCCTACTAGATACTTACACCTATATGACATCACCCTTAATCAGTCAATGTGATGATATACGATGTTACAGATATTTCTGGCTGTCTTTTGTAAGAGAATCTCAACAATGCAGTGAAAAACCAATTTGAAGAACCAACTATTTTAGTGGCATGCTTCTGTGGGTGATTCTCTTTCCCTTAGCATACATATATCTTAAGGAATTTTTCTACGACTAGCAAAATGTGCATTATCAGACTAATGAAGAATCAAATAATTACTGTTTTTTTATTCTTTGGGATAGTACTTGATAAAGAAAGCAACTGATTAGTATGCATAATTATCATTCTTGACGAGGTTCCATTATAATATTGATTTCAATTTTGATATTCTTGTCTTATTTAGAAGTGGCAGTAGGGAAGGACGAACAAGGGCAAATAAGTAATTCTAATGTTAACTTTGGGGTAAATTTGTAAATTCACTTTTCACATGTGTATCCAGTTTATGCTTTCTTTCCTTGTTCATCGGTAGAATCTACCATATGCTGTACATTTGTTCTATCACTGCCTTTTGCTCTTGGTCAGATCATGATGATCGTTTTGGATCTCAGTTTTGCCTCAAATTTTTCTTCGGTGTTGTTGTAATCTTTGGTTACACCAAGTTTTAGTTCCCCTTCTCCCCCAATTTTTCGGTAATGTGTCCAACTCTTGAAAAGAACCTATAATGGTTGCTTTTTTCCATTTTTCTTTGGATTCTTAGGTTGTGTATCATAAACTGTATTTAATTTTCCCATGCATGTTTGAAAATAGAAATAAATATGTATATAACTTTGATGTACAGAGGCTTTTGTGGTTCCGAGTCTAGGTGTGCTCTAAAGTCGAATAACAGCAAGCATAGCTCTCACTTCGAATCGGCTTTAAACTTTTTCCCATTTTATTAACTTTGACTGCTCCAAATCGGGATATAAATTTGTAATCTGCGGAAATTGTGAAGATCTTTCTTCACCAATCCCTTTGACACTCATTCTTCAGGAATAAGGAAAAGTATTTTTAAGTTTGAATTTGTTCATTTAGAATCTAATTTCTTCTGCTTCATATTTATTTAATATGAGTATTATCCTTCTCTTTTTGTTGATACATTTAACATAAACTTGCCCCACTATTTCTGGTGTGTAGCCTTTTCAGTAATTTGCAGGAATAACAGATTACATTTTCTGGGCACTGAATAGACAGGTTCTAATAGCAAATTAATGAACAATTTATCATTTAATCTCATATGAAGTGAAAGGATTCTTAGCTTTTGATTTGTGATGAACTTGAATGAAATAGGACTTCATATGTGGTATTGAGGTTTTCTATTTCTCTCAACTTTACTTGAAGTTTGCCTTGCAAAGTTTTCTCAAACTTTAGCCTAATTATGCCCTCATTTTCATTCTCAGGCTAATTAAAATTTCATTTATCAAAAACTATCGTAATTGGTTCATCTTCATCTATTTCGATTTAGTAAATTAGAGATCTACCAACAAAGGTGTTTGTATGCTGTTAATGGAAACACATACTGCCTTTTCTATTCTCTTCAACTCTTTTTCTTATCATCTTCTTCCTCTACTTTTTTCAGCTACATCTATCTCAACAGTTTATATTCTTGCAGCAGGCATCTTATGGTTGTTACTTTATACACTTGTAATCTTGCAGCAGACACTTTGTGATGGTTAATTATTGCAACATAATAATATTAATTCTTACTTCTTAACCTCTTTATAGGTTGTGAGTTTCGAATTTTGAGTTCATTTCAAATGAACACAGGCTGTTCTTTTTAAATTTAGGTGCCATAATCCGTCAATGTCTTCTCATATGTGTCTTTGCGTTTTTGTGATGTTTGAGTTTTAACTGTAAGAGTGGTTTAAGGAAATATGGATTATATAAGAGGAGAAAATAGAGTTGCAGCTAATGGTTCATCTCTGGCACAGATTCATTTCACAAGCTGTCCCTTTTTGCTAAAATTAACTTGTGACCTGAACTAATTCCTTTGATTTTGCTAAATCTAAATAGGAAACAACACTATACAACTACTATCTTTCTTTGGTGATGATGAGGGACAACCCCAGAAAATTATGCTATTAACGTCCCATTATTTGAATGAGCCAACCTAGCCAAAATTCTGGTAAGAACAGAATCGTCTCTGGCAACAACACGTGTACTTTATACGAAAACAGGTGTACTTGAAGTGTTCTTCTTCTTTTGTTAATCCCAAATCCTAATGTTGCTTGAATTTCTTTTGCACCTTTTACTTCTACTTTAGCATTTCTTGGATTTTGGGTGTGTTGGATACTCTTGCATGTGTGTGTTTTTCGCCAGAAATTCATTTGAACACCTGAGAAAGTGAAGGGCAGAGAAATGGATACACCACAGAGAAAGTAAAGTCTCCATCTTCATTTTTTTCATATCTACAATTGAAAACACAAGAAAATGAGGCCGAAAGATTATCGACCTTTGGTTTTGCTCGATTTTATCGGAGCCATTATTTTACTTCTGAAGTTCTCTTAGGCTTTATATATTTTTCATTTCTGGATAAACGTTTCTAGATATTGGATTTTGCTCTTCATGTTTTATTAGAAGACTTATACTTGCATTTTGGGTGAGTGTTCAAATGCTTTTATGAGATCTGAATTTGAAGGAAGAACTTTCACACTACCAAGGTGTTTGATGAAATGCCCCCTTAAGGATTCTATTAGGAAATCATCTCTCATTTAATAATTCCAAGGATGCATTATTCACATTCACTAGAAAGAACTATTCAATAATTATAATATGCATTATATATCATTTTTGTTAAATAAATATTTATTTGAAATGCGTTTAGCTAGATATTTGATGTTCAAGCTGTATCAAGTGGTGATACTCCTACAACAAAATGTAACACCTTTTTATAACTTGCATGAGTAAAAATGTATGTATAGTCTAACTTTGTTGTGTATATGTGTACAGGTTAGGAGGATCGATTGACATGAAAAAGTCTACCTATATGTTTTCACTTATTTCAACTAAGTGAGGTTAGTGTAAGTAGCATTTACCTTCATAAATAGAGATATTATATTAAGAGTTGCTATTTATTCATCTTTCGACTCAAGTGATGTGTATTAAGTACTACTAGGCCAATGATAAATTAATTGTTGTTAGTTTTTCTACTATGAATTTTATTAAATAAGTTTATATGCTATTTGTCGAGTAAATGTTACTAATATTTAAGTAATTTGAATGAAGATGCCGAAAACATTTGATGACGTAAATAGGGGTAAGGAATTTTAGTTTTAGTTTAAAACCTTAATATGTAATTGTATGTTTTAAACAATAAAATGAGCTTTCGATTTATTTTCCTTAAAATGGTGATGATGTTGCCATATGATAGGCTTAAGGGTAGGTAAATGAGATGCACTCCTACGCATACTACAAAGTAATTATAGCATTTATTATTTCTATTTGGTGTATATATGAAGTTTTACTAGCATGTTTATTCACATTGTAAAGTATATAGATGTCATATTAATGTTTTATGACATTCACTCTATTCTTTGAGCAAGAAAGCTTAACCCTGAAAAAATCTACTCAGTTTAAAACAAGGAGGAAAGTAGGGTCTTCCGTGATGCACTTGACCAATGAAAGATGTTTGTGGAGATTCAAGGCCTATTTTGACAGGTATCTTATTCTAAAAGTTAATCACACATCTTCTGCAGTACAATCACATTCTCTTCGTTATTTATTTTATTAGTTTTTGAATTATAATGGAGATGTTAGTCATGACTTTTTGAGTAAAACTATTGTTATTTTTTCCAGTCGTGTACATTAATGCACAAACATAAAGTTTTAGCTGAAACTTTCTGTGATGATTCATATATTGTCAGGTTTAGTTTGATGCAAGAGACATAATCCTATAATGATGAAAAAAATGAAATTTTCAGTTTACCGTGTTTATAGACATCATAAAACACATGAATTTTGAAAAAAGACAGAGATTCAAATAGATTGAATTCTGCATATATATAGTGAAAATTCATTTCTCATCAATGGAAACCCTCAAGATCTCTTAAAATCTTTTAGAGTGCTAAGATGGAGTTTTGTCCCCATATTTGTTTGTTTCGATGATAGAGACTCTCAACATAAAGCTAAAAAAAGGTGAGAATTTGGATTGGGTAAAGAGGTTGCAGGTTGATAGAATGGGAGGTGCACCATGTACAATTTCTCATATTTTATATGCAAATGTCATTTTGTTGATATGTTCATGGAGGAATTCTCCTAACTTTTGGGATAGTAACTGGTTCAAGGGTGAATCTGGCTAAGAGGGTGTTTGGATTGCTTTTACAAGATGACTTCTAAGCTAAAAGCTAAAAGTCATAAGTTGGTTATACCCAACTTTTAGATTTAATTTTTTTTTTTTGCCTTTTCTGGCAATCAAACACTACAAAAAATGAGCTTAAATTCAAAAGCACTTAAAATGAGCAAATTAAATAGGAGTATTATGTACAACACCATTGTATAGAGGATTTACCTCAGAGATTTTATATAGGAATTAGATGAAAGGTTAAAGAGTTACCTATATTTGGGACTTTCTTGAGGTGCAAAGAAGAATGCCAAAAGTATCTGACTGAGATATTAAATAGATGTCTCAATAAGATGACTTCTTGAAAAAAAAAATTGTCTTTCGATGGCAGACTCACTTCAGTTAATAGTGTGTTGGATAAAATTTCAACCTACTTATTGTTTTTGTTAAAGTTGCATGGTTATATGAGGAAAATTTGAATACCATAAAAAGTGACCTCATGTGGAAAGGCGTAATACAAGAGAACTAAAGTTATTAAATGACAAAAAAAAGTAATGATTCACAAGAAGGTTGGAGGTGTGAGAATAAGAAATCTAAGATTGCATAATAAGAGTTTATTATTTAAATGACTAAAAGTTTAATGATGGTAATGAAAATTCTGATGAAATGTGAAATATGTGAAAGATACTTGGAGCCCTCTTTTTGTTCATAATGCATCAAGAGATAGTATATGGAGTAATATCACTGAAATATGAGTTTCAAAAGTAGTTGGTAGAACAATTCATATATTTAAGTAGGAAGAAAACATAACATTTTTTTTAAGATTACCTTTTCCTACAACTAATTTAACTTTTTTGTATACTGCTCATTAGATTGATCTTTTAAGTTTCAAACTCATGACCAAGTGAAAGAGCTCTAATGCCATGTTAGACCTGGACGTGAATGAGATAAATATGTCAAAAACATATTAGACTTCATCTCATCATTTTCTTCTTCTTTCTTAAATCTATATTGTTCTGACTCTTCAAAAATGTCAATTCTCCAAAAGTAATGCCCAAAGTAAAGAGTACGCGCAACATTCAAAAAAATTCACATGAAGTTGTAGCTGACATGTGAAATTCCCGGCCATTTATTTCTACCAACTGTGGAATCAAATTGAGAAGACGTACAGACAAATTTTTTGATATTTTTTTATGGAATAAAAACAAACCGCACAAGGTTGGCTTCTTTCTAAATGATCTGGCGAGTTCTGCTGTCTCTTGAACAGATGCAGCACTTTGGCTCTGCGTGTCCCATATGTTGAAGAAGCCGAATAGCTAAAAGGTGAAATATATTCTAAGGCTTATTAGTCTAAAGTTCGCCAATGCAATAGATAATTTTATTTACTTTATCACCGTTCTTCATATTTAAATAGTCTTTAATTCATTTTTGGCTTGGCAAAGAGGGCAAAGTGCAAAGCACATCCAATAGTTGTTCTAAGATGGTCATTCAAACTACGACAGCTAGCATTGCAAGATGCAACATGACAACACTTAAAAGTTGAACGAGTTATTCAATTACTCCATGTTCTCTTCAAATCAACAAGTAAATTCAATTATTTCCTGTGTGTACATTTTATAATGCACATACAAATTTACCTTTCTTGGAAGAAGCAGAAATTGACTAAGGCAGGAAACTTTGTGAAGACAAATAGAGTCCGAAAGATCTGTATCAATCATAGCTCAACCATTTTTACACGTTCTGCTTACGTCATTCATCTAATGCAATTTTAGTTTTTACATCGCTATGTTGCAACTTTTTAAGTTCTTTACTGCTGTTCTTCGTTACCAAGTGCCATGTAAAGCATCCACAAATAAAATGTTGGGCCCGTGCTAGCACGGGCCATTCCCATCTAGTATATATATATACAATAGCTGCATATATACAAACAA